CTACTACTCCATCACCTGTTCATACAAATTCAATTGATTCTCAATCGACAACAATGAGACAAAACTAAATGAAATCACGCCTATAGAAATATTCCTATTTATTTTTTATTCAGTTGGGAAAAAAAACAAAACAGCGAGACGACAAATGTTTTAAATAATTCATTGATTATTTTTCTGTCAAGCAGCAACATGTGCGAAATGACGACGTCGACGATTATCAACATGAACTATTAAACGATAATAATCAAAGCATAGCTAATTGTTAAGAAAAATTCAAATAGAATAGATTTAGAAATATAAACTATGAAAAAAATGAAACTATTACAAGAATACGTATTGGTTCAGTATTAAATTGATTAGCAAGAAGTATGTTTATATCATTATCAATATATTGATTTTGTTGAAATACTGAAAATAAAACAGAACTATAAAACAAAAATTATTCCTTGATCATTCTAACTTTGTTGAATTATATCTAGTTGTTCATTTGTAAACTCTTTGAGAATAACAGATGCTTCTTGAATAACTAAAATAAATATCAACATTATCGTTTAGAAGAAAACAAAATAGTATCTTTAGCGATTTTTATGCGTACATTCTTCAAGCCATGAAATATGTTCATCCATTTTGGATAATGCGTTTTACAATACGAAGAAAAAAGTATACTACTAATATTTTCAATTTATGAATGTGAGAATAGAATTCGAAATTTATATAGTGTTCATGAAATAAGAATTCACTATAGAAACGGACAATGCAAAAGAAGATATAATCTGACGGACGATACATTGACCTGTCATAGCGTTACATAGTAAGGTGAATTATTGAGAGTAGTTCCATATTGATGTCATTGAATTCACTATGAAACTAGCAATTCAAAATAAAATTACGCTTCTATTTACAAAAAATTAGAAAATTACAAAAATACCTCGTAGCATATTGGATACCAATATGTTTAGTTGAAATTTGTATCACATAGAATAATATTAATCAGTATATTTTATTAAAATATATATGTTTTCATGAAATGACTTACCGAGAATCATATCTGAGGTAATTAGCTTAAAACAACAAAAAAAGTAGTAAATCAATCTATTTTTAAATTAGCAATAAGTCATGTTCTAAATCTAATTTACAAAAATATTCGATTAAGCTATGTTAAAAGTTTTCTATTTGTATCAGACAAAAATCTTAATTTAATTGAAAATAAATAACAAGTTAAGGGGGCCCCCCCTTAGAAATGAAGTCCCACTTAGGACCCTTCGTTTGGGCTGAAATTTTCAGGGATGATTGGTCTTAGTGAGAAACGCTTATGATAAAAATTTCAGCTTCACATGTCCGACTAAATCGCAGTTTTGATTGGTTTTCCTACCTTTCAGAAGAATCGAAATAACTCCGTCCAGAGAAGGGATACAGAGCTCGGGTAGATTTCAAATTGTAGCTAGCCTCTGTACGCAACTTTTCATCGGACGGAATTTTGAAAGTCCCTTCCATTCATTTTTTACGAGCGATTTTGTGGGCATGTCTGCAAAATAAGCATAAAAAAGTGTGGTTCGACGACAGTAAATTCCACTTTTCTCAGCCCTGGGGTTCAATATTAAAAATCCGTCCGATGAAAAGTTAGCTCTAATCAAGACCTTTAAAACAAAAAAAAAATTATTGGTTATAGATTGAGACAGGATGGAGTTATTTCAATTTTTCTGTCTGGAAACCGTATTTTGAGAAAAACGCTAAAGAAATTTTAGAACTGGATTTTTTCATTCAAATCCAGAAAAAATCATATTACAATGGTATATTATTAATTCATTCTCGTGGAGTGTTTTAGACTACGTAAGAGATGAAGGTAACTAACGCCATCTGACATGTTGGGTAATATAAAAGTGTTCTACTCAATGCTAATGCAAGTGACAACGCAGTTTTTTCAAAACTGAAACACCTGAAAATTTCTCCGAAAATATGGTAGTAGAGTCAAAGTTTTATATGATAAGTCTTTGAAAATCCGGTCATTTTCCAAAAAGCTATATATGTTCTGAAAGAGGAAGCTTCGCCGCATCTTCCTGTGATAAAAACTCAACTTCGATATTCCCTTGAAAAATTCGATTTTCTAAGGGGGGGGGACCCTTAATTCAATGTCGGTAATTTTAAAATTATCATACGATTAGTTACACAGTATTGCTGGATATAATATGACATGTAAAAGCAAATATATTACATAATGGTGAAAGATACTGTAGAGGATTGTTTTCTTTTACAATACACATCATGATAATAAAATATATATGATACAGATAAGACATTTACATTTGGTTATTTTATCATTTCTTATACGATGCAGTTTTACCAGTTTATTCTCGTTGTGAATATTTTTGCTTGTCCTTTATTGACAAAAAGTGAGATCACACCAGTTCTTTTAAATAAATTCGAATTAACTCATGCTGGTTTTTCAACACTTCTTCGTACATGGACATTGAATTCAACATCATGGGCTTTAGTTATCTCTTGTTTTAATGCAGTTCCAAAAACTACCGATTATGTTTATAGTGTACCTAATATAGGACAACAATTAACAACACGAATTACACCAACACTTGTAACTGATCAAATAATATGGCCTAATGGTATTGTAGCAGCAGATCGATTAGTTGAATATTCAATGATTGTTCCAAGTGGTTTTCTTGTTCCTGGTAAAACTAATGGAAATCTATATTTTATTTCGGATACAAATATAATACCATTAGTACCAGATGATAAAAAAAATTGGTTTTATCATGATGCTGAATTCAAAGACATGGATGGGGATGGTCATATTGATATCGTAACTGGACGTGCAAATGTTCCACTTGTTGGTAGACCAACAACTCAATTAGTTTGGCTAAAAAATCCAGGAAATCAAACAATAACTGGTCCTTGGAATCTTAATTATTTATTAACTAAAGGTGGACCAGATATTCAAGTACAATTTGCTGTAGTTGATTCATTACAAGTATATGATCTATGAATGTTGATAAAGGTTTAAAATTCATTATATTTAATTCCATTATTTTAGGTTCTTTTTGCTAACTCATTTTTTGAACGTAAACTTCAAATGTTCTGGTCTGATTTAGATCCATTGTGGAATGACAGTACTAAATTACATGTACGTCATATTGACTATGAACCACATCCATATGAATGTATACAATTAACTCTAGATCTTAATGGTGATAATAGACCTGATCTGCTTGTTACTGTCAATGATGAATTTAATGGTTCATTAATTGCTTATGAACTTCCATCATCAGGTGATATACGTAGAGGAAATTTTACAAAACATATTCTTGCTAGTGGATTTAAACCACTTGTTCAAGTTAAAGGTCGAGGAGCACCAGGACAAGCCATAGCAATTCAATACTATTCATTTACTGTACGAAAAAAACCTATTTTAATATTATCTGGTGATGATGATGGTTGTGTATATTTACTAGAAGCAATTCATGATAATGATCCATCAAATTGGGAATATTCAATGAAAATAATTCATCAATCGGAAAAATCAACAATTGGTCAAGTTAGTGTTGAAGATGTTGATAGTGATGGACATCCAGAAATGTTTGTACCTGCTTATAATGAAGGCATTGTCTATATTTATCGACTAGTGGATAAATAAAAAAAAACATTTGTCTTTTTTTTTTATTTTTCATTTTTCATTTTTACTAGATTTTTTTACATTATAATTTAATTACAAAAATAAAAAAAAATTTAATTTATTGAATTTTTGTACATCCTAACTACAAGGAGAACTCAAAAAGTTCTTTTTTCACCAGTCTTTTAGACAACTATTTGACAGTTGTATTTTCATGATAAAGATTAAAATCAAAGATGGAATCGGTACCGATACAAATTTTAGATTCCAACCGATCTACCGGTAGATCGATTATCATCCGTGTGTCTTATTAATTTTTTTGCTCTTGGTATCTCATAGAGAATGTATAATGAAACTTTGTTGAAAATTGACTATGTCAAACATCACTATTTACATTATGGAATATAGTATGACAACTCGTCAGTGCAGTGTCGGTATGGATTTCACGACCGATACCCATCATAAAAAATCCAGACCGGTCTTCTATTTATCTACTGATATAGTTTGAGAACTTACGGTAGGAGGAACTATTGACAAGCTAACTTTCGTTTACTAGATCAAAATGATATGAGCTTGATAAACCTAGATTTCGTGAAAAAAAATTGGCATATCTCATTTGTCTGAGCTCTTATTTCGATGAGCTTTGATTGTTTATGAATTAGTTTGTAACGCTCTAATTTTTGACTACTCTATTATATTTTAATCATTATGATACACATATAATCTATCACTAGTGATAATGTGGAATACAAGATAGAAATTAGTTCTTCGAAATCTATTCAGTCAAAGGCGATTCAATCAAATATGAAACTGCTTTCAATCATGAATGAGTTAACAATGCCACTTATCGAGCACAAAACTTTAAACAAAAAAATATACTTGAAATAACTATTGACGACATGATGCTCAACCTGTCCTCTATTCATTCGTATGTTCAATTATTGCTGGAACAGCATTAAAAATTTCTTCGATTATATTAGTTGGAGAACCATCTGAATGGATTACATCTTCAATGGTAAGAAGTAATCTATTTTTCCTTGTAAATTAAATCAATTTACTAGTCATTTAAAAATGTATTTTAAAAGTTTTCTCGTGAGAATCCCAAACGTATGTGGGAAATGTCGTATCATTGGTTTAAAAGAAATGCAAAAATAAAACGAAGATCAAGACTTCTAAGTCTAACATTTTGCAAATAATCCTAAATATATCTAAGCGTTCTATTAAAATAGTTACAACGAAATGACAGCATTTAGAAGAGTCGGATGAAAAAACTTTTGGCGTACCGTATGTATTACATATTACTTGATAAATCTTAGTTTTAATGCTGATATTTCTTTTATTTGATAATAAAAAGAATGTAAAAATGAAATTATTATATTTAGTTTTTTTCCGACGATGGTACTTCGAAGAAGAAGAATATTGATGGATCTTTTCTTATTACTGATGGAATTGTTGTATCGGAAACTCCATTCCAAGGAAATTTTAATGGAAGTTCAATTTTATTATGCGTTTGTACTGTTTTACGTGGTTTAGTTTTTATGTTTGAAAATGGACATGGACCAAATATAACTGTTGGATAGTGATGAATGTTTTGTTTCGATAGTAAATACATTGAATGTTCATAATCTTTACAGAATTTTTGAAATTCATATTCATTTTTTTGATGTTGTTCAGCAAATTTTAATTTAAATTCAAGTTTTTCATTTTCTCTTAAAGAATTTCTTATAAAATGTTTTTCAGGAATAATAATTTTTGGTTTATAATTTATTTTGGATTCTTTTCGTTTTCTACTTTTTTTCGTTATAATTTTTTCTTCAGAAGAACTAATAATCGAACTTTTTCGTTGATCTGATGTTG